TTGGAAAATGCTTGTCATTCCTCTGTAGCATCTGGTCCCCACTGGACCCTCATAATTTCCTTCCCCTGCTCCCCCCACCGACCAAACTGTGCAGCTCTGCAACTGCATCCTGGCCCATCCTCACCCTTCTGCCCCCAACCCTCACCTCCTTGTAACCCCAATTTGTTTTTCCCAATAAAAAAATTTTTAAAAAAAAATTATCCTTCAGTTACACTCCAAACTTGTTATTGTCCTCACCCTAAATATAGACAATTGTCTTACACAGGAGACAAGCATTGAGCTTCTTAACAAATACCCAACTTCACTGGCTTAAAGCTTTGGTTATTCACATTATTTTGCCAAAGACTTTTTTATAAAGATATCAAACAAGAGGTTAATCTACAGTGTAGCAGCACTTTACAAGTTATGTTCTGTTGTTCTTGAAGAAAAGTGACAATTCATGGGCCATATGAAGACAGGCCCTTTCCATGAAAACGAAGTTCTGTGTAAGTCATTTCTAAATTCATCTTCCTGAAGTCACTATTTTCTAAATTAGCCTTCAACAAAGGTCTGGAGTCTAGGGGATCTGACTCACCCTGTCAGAACTGCACATGCTAAGCAGTTTTAGGATGTTGTGTGGAGGGTAAATGACAGCTGAGAGTACTTTTTGTGAAGATACCCAGAGCAGATCACGCACCCATTCAGTAATTTCTACATTTACAGTTCCGTGAAAATGGTTGAATTCTTCCAACAGGGGTCACAATTCTTGCTCTATTAGCTCCTGCTCTACCATTACTACTACTTAAACTGTCTCATAAACTGATCTATGCTTTAATTACTGCTGTCAATCTAACACATATCTTTTCCAGTGCTCCAGGCAAATATTCTTATCAAGTAGTCAAAATTAGTGTTTAGTTCCAAGATAGTTCTTCAGCCTCAATGAATTCTAGAAGGAATTTAATTCTGTTAAGTCTGGACTTTGTAAAAAGTTTGACAAGCTGGCCCACACTTTCTCCTTCTTGACCAAGTACTCAGCTACTGAGGTCAGTAATGGTGACTGAGCACTACCCAGTTCTGGTTTCACGCCAAAGGAAGCAGAACACATGGGGGCAACTAGCCATGCATTTCATTTCAGGTTTCTTTTCCAGTAGCTATGTTTCTTTCCTCTCATACTCCAAGCAAATAGACATTGTTACTGTATCTTAGATGGTTGCTTGCAGTGCTACAAAACTAGAAATTAGTAACAAAAGGATAATGAAGAAGGGGGGGGAGGATAAAGGAGAAAAAACATAACCCTGAAAGCTGAACAATTGGATAATAATCATGTGTCATCATCGAGTTGCTTGCAACTCACAGCAACCCTAGGTCCAACAGATCAGAACCCTGCCCTGTCCTGAGCCAGTCTCATTGACTCTGACACACCTACTCTCATTGCACCAGGTACTATGTCAATCCATCTCATCTGGGTTCTTCCTCTCCTGCCTTGTCCTTCCACCTTTCCAAGCATGATGTCCTTCTCCAAGGAATGGTCCCTCTTGGCAATGCACCCAAAGTATGTGGGACAGAGCTTCAAAATACTAGCTCCAAGGAGAAACTTGGTTCCACCTTCTCCAAGACAAACCTATTTTTTGAGTCCACAGTATATACATTCTAGACTCTTCTCCGCGTACATCCTCCTCAACATGAGACAGGCATCAGTGTGAGAGACCAGCAGCAGTGCAAATCACAAGACATCACTTGTGGCCTAAGCCATCATATCAAGAGGTAGCTGGAGGAAGGCAGGTGCTGGCCGGGATAGGCAGGAGTGCAAGGGTTGCGGATGTAGCAGGAAACAGGATAAAACACATGTGCTGGGAAAGGGGTGACGGGACACTGAGTGTACTGGTTATTTCTATAAGGGGAAATGTCTTTCCTATAAGGGGAAGTGTCTTTCATCTGCTCCCTTTGGTAAAATGCTGCCAGGTAATCTTAGTATTATCGGTTACTTTATCCAAATTGCATAACCATTACCCTTAACCAATTCAAATTTTCTCATCACTACAGAGTAATTCCCTACCCATCTCCCACCTCCCCCTCCCCCTGTTCCAACTATGGGAAAGCACTAATAACGTTAAGTGAGGACACAGGGTATGTCATTTTGTAACTGGCCTGTTTCCCTCAGTACAATGATTTAAGTTCATTCATGATGTAGCATACATCGGAGTTTTGGGAGTTTTTAAGGCTAAGCAATACTCCATTGTATAGAACTATATTTTATCCATTTATCAGTTGATGGGTCACTTTTCTGCTACTGTGAATAGTGCCACTATGAATATGTTAATAAGGATGTCTTATGTTGCTGTGATGCTAAACACTGTGACACTGATGTATCAAATGTGATAATGGTTACCCATGGTGGACAGCGTTTCGTGGAGCTCCCTGATTAAAACAAGCTTGGAAGCAGGAGCAGCATCCACTTCCAAATTGCTTGCCTCCGGAAACACTATGAACGTGGAGAAAAGATGGAAGTTTAAATTGCTCACATCTTTTGTTGATAGGGTTGCTATGAGTCATGTACGACTCAACGGCACTTAACAATGAATGTCTTCACTGACAATTATCACCGATTTAATTTATATTATCATCCATATATCTATCCTTTCTTATGTGAAAGACTTATGTGCCATCATCTGCAACTCATAGCGACCCTATGTACAAGAGCCTAAACCCTGCCCTTATACCATGCCAATGTCACGGTCTCTGGCATGCCTATTCCCATTACCCCAGTGACTGAATCAATCTATCTCATTGAGGGTCTTCCTCTCCTGTGTTGTCCCTCCACCCTCCCAAGTATGACCTCTCCAAGGACTGGTCCCTCCTTGCAACATGTCTTGAGAATAAAAAGTAGATTTTTACTTAGTACCTAATATTACTACCAACTTTCTTAGTTTTAAGAGTATTTTAAGACACTCTGATAGCAGAACCAGACTTTAAAAGTACCTGAAATTATTGAAATTTTTCAAACATTTCCTTATATGAAAGATACTGGTGTTTAAATGTTCTACTTCCATGGAAAAGTCAGCTATTTTTCACTTTAGTTAAAAGGGAATTTAAAACATGAGAGGTTATAGACATAATTCAAATTTATTAAAATAATACAAACAGCAGTGAAATCTTCCTTAAAAAAAATTATCTCCCTCACCCCCAACTCCACGGGCCCTAGACAGAGCCAGCCAGCAGGGGTGCAAGGCATGAGGCCTACCAGAGCCATTTTCACTAGGGAGTCCCTGTCAGAGCCGACCAGCAAGGAGGCCCGGACCAGAGCTTGTGAAGTATCTGTATGCTACTTGTTTTCATAGTATGCTATTAGGGGTGGCACTCAAGTGGCTTAGTGGTAAAGAATTGTACTGCCAACACAAGGTACACAGTTCTAATCCGCAAACTGTTCCATGGGAGGAGGATGAGCAATCTCCTCCCCTGAAACTCCTAATGCCTCTGAATACCTGCTGATGGGTTAGTTCCAACTTGGTAGTACCCAACATCATCAAGGGTACAACACTGTTCTGTCATTTGTTGTATTGGGGAGTGATCTGTGTGTTGCTTGTTTACTGTTTGCTCTTAAGAGTACATGTCCTGTCAGTTGCTATACTACAATGGTTCACAGGTTGCTGTGATACTGGAAGCTATGCTGGAAGTGTCTCCATGGTGGACAGGTTCCAGGAGAACTTTGAGAGACTAGGAAGCAGGATTGGATACCAACTCCTGAAATAACAGGCCTACAAAACCCCTATGAACACTGTTGTTAGGTTTTTATATAGATAGTAATATATGTTTGGGGTGGGGGAATACAAATTACCACTGCAGTTTAAAAAAAAAAAAATCAAGGCAGGCAATTTATTCCAGAATGCTGTATGAAAGAGAGAGAAAAAAGGTAAGGAGTGGGATAATCAGAGCAGCTGGCAGGTGGCTACGCCCTTTTAGAAAGATTTATACAAGTTACAATATTGAATTTCCATTTCCATAGATGTGCTAAAAGGAAGAGGCTCATTTATTTTGCTTGCTGTCTTCTTAGACAAAAGAGACTTTTGGATATGAGTTGCAAACCCACGTCTACATCTTATCAGAGAACATGGCATTTACA